TCCAGGGCGATGTCCCCCCCTGAGTATCGGGCCGGACGAAAGGGGGGGATCGGGAAAGGGGGGGGTACGAAATTTGCTGCATGCAGCTGGTTTCGGCCCCACCGAGGGGCCCATTCCTCGATACATAGCCGCCTCTGGCGCCAGGAGGCGCCGGGAAAATCAGCTACATGAGCTGATTCTCAAACCCCCCCTTGTTATCCCCCCCTTTCGCCCGACCCGAGAGGAAGCCCCCTTTAGACTGTTCCCCCTCGTCGTCCTCGGAGTCGTCTGCACCATTCCTGGGAGTTCTTGTCGCCACGGCTGGACGCGGCTCGAGCCCCCAGGAGGCCAGGCCACGAACCGATCTTGAGCGCTTTTTCGTCGTCGTCGTCGTCGTCGTCGTCGTCGTCGAACTCTTGGTCAGAACCCAGCCCTGGCGGGGTCTGGAGGCCGAATCTGTAGGCAGACTCGAATCTCTCGCAGAAGGTTTTCCGCGCGATGCCCAAGGTCATGGGGCCGTTTCCAGGTCCTGGGGGCTGGCCCCCTTGGGCCCCGAGCAAGACGATTCAGGAAGAGAACGCTTGGCCCTGGGGCAGGGGCCGGGAGCCCTGGGGGCACACGTTGCGGACGTATCGAATCGAGGGGGGCCTGGTACAGTATCTCCCTCCTCTTCTTCCCTCCTCTCCTTCTCCACCGAGTCTTCGCCGTTGGAAAATCAAGGGCATGGATAGCCCACGCGTGCCTGGAAGGCGAGTGTGTTTCGGCAGCAGCCTGCGCGGGCCCGCACGGACGGGCGAGGGTCCACGGGGGAGTGGGGATATGGAGCTGCGATCCACTGTGTAAGCGCGTTTTGAAGTCAGACCTGGTTTCAAAGCAAAGTGAGGCAAACGTTCGTTTGATGTCAGATCTGACTCAGAAAAGCATGCTTCCAAAAGGGAGCGGGCAGCGGGCAGAAAGGGTTTGGGAGCAAGGGCCAGGGGGCTGGGAGCCGACGGGAAGATGCGGGAGAGGAGGTGGATAAGCAGGGGAAGAAAAGTGGAGGAGGAGGAGGGGGAGAAGGAGGAGGAGGAGGAGGAGGAGGAGGAGGAGGAGAACGAGGAGGAGGAAGACGAGGAGGAGGAAGACGAGGAGGAGGAGGAGGAGAACCAGGGGAGGAGGAGGCGAGGGGAGAGGATGGAAAGTGAGGGGAGGGAGGGCTGGGAGATTCGGTCTCTTTACAACCCGGACGACACTTTGCAACCGAGATAGGTCACTTTACAACCAGCAGCGGATCGAATTTTACCGCTTTTCTTTGCGAACGGCCACTTCACAGCCAGAACAGACCACTTTACAACCAGAACGGCCCACTTTACAACCCAGACGGGGTTCTGCACAACCAGAACGGCCACTTCACAACCAGCCTTCAGAAGTGCGTGAGCGCTCTGCATAGGCTTCTGAGGCTTCAGAGCGCTTGAGCGTTCGGCATAGGCTTCTGAATGCCTGATCGCTCTGCAGAGGCTTCTGATCGCCTGAGCGCCTGATCGCCTGAGCGCCCGGCAGAAGCTGCCTGAGCGCCCAGCAGAAGCTGCTGAGGCTTCTGAGCGCCTGGGCGCTCCGCAGTGGCTTCTGATCGCTTGAGCGTTCTGCACAGGCCTCTGAGCGCCTGAGCGTTCTGCAGAAGCTTCCGCGAATGCGAAAGTATTGGGTTTTTGCATTGCCAGACGGTGAGGCCCGAGGACAAACATTGTGTTTGTGAGGCAAACAAGCACATTGCAATACACACGTATTGGCTCAAATTTTACCATCGGTCTCTTGGCCACATGTCCGCCCTCCTGGGTACGCACGTTTCCGCGATTGCGTACTCATACGGTTTCGCTATTGCCAGACGGTGAGGCGCGAGAACAAACAAGTCTTGGATGCAAGAACAGAGCCAGGGTTTTCAAATTCACACCAAATATTTCTTGGCCACAGTTCGGCCCTCCTGGGTACGCATGCTTCCGCGACTGCGAACACCCACGGCTTTGCTATTGCCAGACGATGAGGCGCGAGGACAAACGTTGTTTGTGAGGCCAAAAGCAACAGCATACCATCCACGTGTATTGGCTAGAACTGTACCACCAATTTCTTGGCCACATGTCTGCCCTCCGGGGTACGCATGCTTCCGCACTTGCGAAATCATACGGTTGTGCGATTGCCAGACAATGATGCGCGAGAACAAACATGGTCCATGATGCAAGACGTCTGCAATGTGAAATCCACACGTATTGGCTAGAAATGTACCAATGACTCATTGGCCACCTTTCCGTTGTCCTGGGTACGCATGATTCCGCACATGCGGAAGCATATTGCTTTGTTATTGCCAGGCGATGATGAGGCGCGGGGACAAGCATGGTCTATGATGCGAAGAAACATTTTGAAATCAACGTGTACTGGCTAGGCCTTTTACTCGCGTCTTCTTGGTCACAGTTCCATTATCCTGGGAGCGCGCGTGTTCTTGTGCGTCGTTTGTTGCGAACGCTGACTGTCCTATTGAGAAGAAGCAAAAGTTTCAGGCAGAGGTTATGAGACTCTTTAAAAATGATGTATAGTTAGAGCATCGGTGAAAACTGCTAAAGCCGCCCAGGCCTGTCACCAGCCTGCAGCGTGATGACCGCAATATTTCTTTTTTGATACCACAAAGATAACAATATCACGCCAAGTGGGTTACAACATGATTGTATAACAGACAGATTTTTGTTGGGTTACGGTTTGCGTCCTGACGGGATCCCGATAGTATGCCCGTATGGGTCGAACACACGGAAGGATTCCGATTGCATTCCGGTGCGATACTCGTCGTATTCGCCAATAGGGTTCCGATGGGATTCCGAGAGAAACGGTTCCATGAAGTACCTAAGTGCGCTTCCCGCAATGTTCCACTAGGAAGGTGCCTCGATTGTAATCCAATGGAATTTCCGACCAGTTTCAATTAGGAAGGACCCCGAACGGTTTCAATAGGAAGCACCCCTATTGGATTCCAATAGGACGCCCGTAGGCCCCATAGCGAAGAATTTTGTTGGGTTCCAATGGGATTCATCCGGTGCTAGTAGGATCCCAGTGGGAAGTGTGCCAAAAGGATTCCAGTAGGATTCCTGTTGGATCCTATTGAGAATTCGCCACTTCACATATTCTTTGCTTCAGACGAGTCTCTTTACAACCAGCAGGCTTCAGAAAGCGAGGTGTCTCCCTTACGTGGGCCCACGGAGATTGCGGACATTGAAGAACTTGTGTCGCATGTATGCGTTTAATTGCCTGGTTGTAAAGCCGCCTTCCTGGTTGTAAAGTGCCCTTCAGGAGAACCCATGATGGCTGTAACGGTGCCCCATCGGGTTGTAAAGTGGCGGTTCTGGTTGCGGAGGGGGAAGGCAGGGGGCAGGGGCAGGAGAGGGGCGCGAGGCAGGAGGCGTGGGGGCAGGGACGGGGGAGGGGGCGGGGCGGGCAGTGGCACGGGGGAGGTCTGACTGGAAGGGGTGGGGGGGAGAAGGTGGAGGCCGGATTGGGAGACGGGGGGGGGCAGGGGCACGGGGAGGCGGACTGGGGCGGGAGGGCAGGAGGGCGTGGCAGGGGCATGGGTGGAGTCGAGGCGGACTGGGAGGGGGGACGGGGGGGAGGGGGCAGAGGAGGCTGCCGAGGGGAGGGGGCAACGACCTTCGATTGCATGAGGCCCATTGTCACGCAATCCTGGAGCAAGAAGCATGCACGACCTCAGAAGCACAACAGAAGGGCCTAGGCCAGGTCCCCCCCTGGCCTTAGTGTCCTGGAATTTGGCGGAGATGCCAGCAGCGGGCATTGCGCAGAGGGAGGGGTGGGAGAAGCTTTCCAACGAATTCAGCGTTACCCTTTCTGTCGGGCGTTCCACATCAGGCTCAGTGCGACAGCTTTCTGTGTGTGCACCAAGGTCACGGCCAGTGTCGTTAGAAGGCAAGTTCTTTAGGATTGTTCATGTCGGGTCTCATTGCCACTGATGGGCCGAGTTGTGATTAATCTGCTGTATCTGGACTGGCATCCCAGTGGTTGTTTCGTGACGTGCAGGACGTCGAAATCCTGAGTGTGTGTAGTCGACACGGGGCAGTGCAAGAAGGAATTGGAGAGGGGATGGCCGCATGTAGAAAGCAGGCGCCATGCTGGGCGCCGCATGTATTTGTAGCTCGCCGAGTGGCTCGTAATAACTTCTTGTCAATGCCATGTGAAAAGTGCGTGCAAGGAAAACTGGCTCGCTTTTGTACGTCCATCTGATTAGGCGTCTGGCGACCAGAACAAGCGTCGTCGTCGCCGCCGTCGTCGCCCTCATCATCCAGATGGAGATATGCCGATGGGGGAAGTGCTTCGTGGTCATCGTCTAGGGGCTTGGGCGGAAGGGAGTTGAGGCGGGTAGGGGGTGGAGGATGAGAGCAGAGGGGGGTCATGTTCAGCCGTGCCCGGGGATAGCGGCTGCGCAGGTTTCGAGATGGGACTCTTTCGGCTGGGGTCGGAGCGGGGTCGTTGGGGAGTGCGGTGGGGAGCCCCAAGTTTCGTAATGCTGCAAATTCTGGTTCTCGAGAGTCTCGGGCCACTGGCTTCCCTGATATGTGGAGTAGGCCTCCGACGCCCCTTAGACAGAAACTAAGTTTCTTGCGTAGGGGCTACAACGCAATCGTCCAAGACATGCTGTGTGACACCTGATGAGGCCAGATCGGATAAATGGATATACCAATGATGCCGCCTCTGCCGCCGGCCCCAGAGAAGGCCACAGTGTGCTGCATTATGGTTATAGGCGGTTGCCTCTGTTCTGGGCGAAGACAAAAAGGGGTAGCAAGTTCACGCCGGGAAGCTCGCTTGGACTGGTACCCAGGCCCCCGACGTCGTGATTTTTGTTCATGGCGCGACCCCCAGAGGTCTGGACCCAATCCCCCCGACCAGTTTTTCGTTCGGAGTCGTTTTTTGACGGTCCCGAGGCCCGGTGAGGGCCCCCAGAGGCCGAGAATAGGGCGTCGTGGCACGCCAGAGGCAGTGTGTCAAATGCCCACCTACTCGTCGTGCGAGCTCGCGCCATCCTCCTCCTCCTCCTCCTCCTCCTCATCCTCGCCGTCCCCGGCCACTGGCATCAACAGACGTTTTGCATCCATCATGGCTCCGCTGAAATACTTGCTGGCTTTCTCGACGAACTCGGCGTCGCCGCCCAATTGCTCCGCGTACCCCTCGTCGTGACCCGCCTTGTACATCACGCACCTGTCCACGATGGAGTCGAGCCAGTCCCGGTGCGCATCGTTGGCAGCGATGCCTTCGTACTCCATTGTGCCAGAGGCAGCAATAGCCAAAGCGCCAGAACCTGGAGTGAAGTCCACGACGTGGGTCACTTTGTGGTGCCCCACGAGAGTCTGCCACAAGCTGAGCGGCTTCACCTCGCTGTGCGAGAACGGGTGGCCCTTCGAGTCGATGTCTCCCTGCAGGCGCGGATGCCTCCCGTCAACGCTAGCGCAAGATGCAGCTCCCAATATGTTCGTCTTCGTTTCGTGGTCCATGCGAGGGAGCTCGGAGAAACGCCGCATTGGGATACCGCTGTATGACGTGTCTGCGGTCGAGGACTTGCCGCACGCGTTGAATTCTGCACGGTGCACCACTTTCCGCGGCGGGCCCTTGAGTGGCATCGAGAAAATGGCCGTATCCTTTGTTCTTCGTGTAGGTCGACGCCCTGGCCGCGGACCGCGGGTCCTCCTTCTTCGTCGGTTGCTCGTACACGAACCAGCACCCGACGTACGCGTGGGAGCCTCCTGACTCCAACTTCGTCTCGAAGGACTCAATGACCCTGCGGTTCGCGCGGCTCCTGCCGTCGAGGAAGATGAGGATATCATCCTTCTGCCTCTTCTGCAAGAAGAATTCGATGACGCGCTTGAACTTCGCCTCGTCACACGCCATCTGCTCGCTCATCCTCGCCTTGCCGCCTTGCTTGACGACGCTGGGCGGGAACAGCTCCGCTGAGAGGATGAACGCGCGAACGTCGTTCTTCTTCCTCCCGAAGCGGTGCCCGAGGCTGAGCGTATCCCACAAGCTCTGCATCTGCGCCACTGCGTACTCTGCGCCAGAGGCAGCGCCGACAGACGGCAAACTGACGAACTTCACAGTTTTTCTGCAGAGCTGCTTGAGCTGCTCCTGGAGCTTCTGGAGCTCTTCCTTTTGCTCGTCCCCGAGCTCGGACATCCCCGACAAGCCGAGATTTGCATCCAGATCGGGGTCGGCGGGGATCGGCCCGCCCGTGCACGCGGCCACGAAGGCGCGATACTTGGCACCAGCGCCCTGGCTGGTCTCGGTGAGGTACGTGTGCCAGACGAACCCAGTGGTGCTGTTCTGCAACTCCTGCTGGGCAAGCTCGGCAATTTCGTCGTCGAAAGCGCTCGACCACAGAGGCCGCGCGGCGTCGATCATCGCCTCCGTCTTGACATCCACGGCGTTCCGATGCTCAGCCCCGTGGAGCGCAAACTGTGTCTCCATTCCGTCGGCGCCGCCGCCTGAGTCGGACGCGCGGTGCGAAGCCACGAGCCCATCCGCGCCAGAGGCAGCGAACTTCTGGAGGATGTGGAGAGGCGTCGTAAATGCCGCCATGTCGTTCCCCACTTCCTTGTTCATGAGAAACGCCTCGTGGAAGATGTACTCGACGAGCTCCTTTTTCTTGAAGAGCGCGTGGGGCATCGCTGGCGTCTTCCTATCGCGCCCGATGACCTGGCTCACGGACAGTTTCTCGCCTTTCGGGACGTCGCCCGTCAAGCGGGCCACGCGGCAACTGTTCATGGTGAAAACGAACAATTCCCTGGCCTTGGCGTCAGAGACAGCCCCCGTGGGGCAGGCGAAGCCGATCCTCATGAGAAGCGTAGGCTCGCGAAGCTCTGGGAAATACGCCTCGGCCAGTGCGAGCGCCGAACTGCAGGCGCCGTCGAGGACGAAAGGGCGCAGACCTTTCAGCGCCGCGGCGGTTGCAGCGGTGCACGCTTTTCCTTTGAACTGGAGGCCGTAGGCCTTCAGCGCAGCCTCCAGCTTCGACACTGGTTCCTGTTTGGCGAAACATTGTTCCACGCGGGCCAAGCGGCGCGTTTTTTCTGCGAACCGCCAGAAGGACTCGGCGCCAGAGGCAGCACGCGCAGAGAACATCTTCTCCGAAAATGTCAGAGCGGCCAAGTGGGTCGCGTCGCCACCAGGCAGCAAGCGCATCCTGATGGGCACGGACAACGCGGCATTGAACAGATGCCACGCGCGGTCTTCGTTGGACTGCTGGAGCGCCTCGCCCATAGCAGCGCGCCACGTGGTGGCCGCCGCGCGCCCCGCGAGCATGGTCAGAGCCTCTGTCGAGCAAACTCCAGGCTTGTTAGGCTCAAGCCGCTGGGCAACCTTGACGTCGACCACCGAGGCGGGGACAGGCGCGTCGAAGGAGAGGCGCCGCGAGGGCGCGTGCGTGGAGGAGAGGGGGTGCGCCTCCTCCGACCGCGCGCCCATGGCGCCCTCGAGCTGGCTTACGGCGGCGTCGTCGATCCGAGCAAATCGGGCCCAACATCCACGCCGCCCCCGCTGCCTCGCACTCCTTGGCGCGGGAGAAGCTCGCAACCAGGCTGTCGTAGCCCATGGCCTCGCGAAGCGAACTGAGGTTTGCGCCAGAGGCGGCATCAGTGATGGCCACCGGCGGAATCAAAGAACGCTTGGCGGGCACCGCGAAGGGCACCTCGCGCTTGCGCTGCCCCCGGAAGCCGAGCAAACTATGGTCGACGTAGCGCTTCGCTTGGCGCGCCCACTTCTTGACGTGACCCTGCTGCATCGACGCGCGTTCCGTCTCGAGGAGCTGCGCGATGCACAGGGCCGGCGGTGCGTCAGGGGCAGCGGCGGGCGGCGCGCCAGAGTCAGCGGCGGGCGGCGTTCCAGAGGCAGCGGCTGGCGAGGCCGCCGCGGCCGCCGCCTTCTTCGCAGGCGACGGGGCCCCCGCGTCACTTGCCCTCTTGCCCATGGCGGCTGCTGATGGTTGGGGGGGAGCGCGAAAAGCAAAAGTGAGCTACTCGCGTCCGAGAGCCGAAACCGCTGTGGACGATGATGATGATGGTGATTATGATGAGGATGATAATGATGGTGATGGCGATGATGGCGACGGTGCTCATGATGATGGTGATGACGATGATGACGACTGCTGGTTGCGCGATGACGGCGATGGTGCTAACGACGGTGAGGATGATGATGTTAGCGACGCTGCAGATCCTTAATCTAATGCCCCCCCCCCCCGTGGCGGCCCAGTCAGTTGAAGAGAAAATCATATTTATCGAATTTGGCGCGAGTTTCATGGGGGGGATCACGGAAAAACAATGCAGCACATTAGAAATGATTATTTGCGATGCGGCTGCGTTATCGCAAATGCAAGGGATAAAGAGTCATCGACAAATGCCGGCGGCCACAGATCATTATCTTGACGCCTGCGCCACGACGCGCGCGCTGGGAGCTCCGCGCGAACGACAGCGCGCAGGCGCTGCGCGCGACGCTCTCCGGGACCACGGGCTACGACTACTATGCGCAGAAAGGTTTCTGGACTTAGTGGGAGATTCTCCGATGGCGCCAGTGGGGGCAAGGGGCGGCGGGAGCTCAAGCTGCTGCCGCTTTGCCCCCCGCTAGCTTCGGCAGGAGAGAAAAGCCGCGCACTAGCAGCGCGCACGTTGGATTTGATCGGTAAAAAGGAGCAGGGCCCGAGAAGCGAATCCAACTCAAGAGGGGGGGCGCCCGCTCAAATAGGTGCGACGATCTTGCGCGAAATAAGAGACAACAGCACATTTTGGATTCAAGGGCGCGCTGTGCAAACGGGAGTTGGGATGCCGCGCGCGCTCGTTGCCGAGCGCGCCCGCGCAAGCAAGGGCGCCTGCAAAATCTGGCGGGGAAGTTGGCGGAGAGTTCCGAATGGCAGGTGCCATGGCGAAATTTTGGGAAAAGTGCAATGGGATGTGCGACTGGCGCAGGTGCTACCGGCAGACCTTTCGGGGTCTGCGCTGCCACTCTGCGAGATTGCGTTCGCGACTCAAGAGGCCGGGAAAATGGTTCAACAATTCAAATGCGGCGAGGCTGCTGGAACGGACGGCGCCCCAGCATAATACTGGAACACAGTAGCTCAAACGCCCGGGGGCGTAGAATGGCTCACGGACCTATGCGACGCATACTGGTCAGAAGAAGTTGTTCCTCAAGCTTGGCGGCGCTGGTTGGTGAGCACCATCTATGGGGGCCAAAGGCCCGCGCACATCTGCGACAACTGCAGACCTATTGGCGCGCTCTCTGCGTCGCGTGCAAAGTGGCGGCGAATTTAATCTTAAAGCGATTGCGAGATGCCGGCGCAGCCCAGTTTGGCTTTTGCGGGGGGCGCGGCGCGGCAGATGCCATACGCGTAGAACGACGACATATAGAAATCTCGAACGCAGGGGGCAGTTCTGGCCCAACATTTGTCGCGCAGGTCTCGGAAGGTTCGGCGTGCCAGGCATCTTTTGGCAACCATCAAAAACATTTATACTAACGAGATGCTCTGCGTCGCGGGCGGGGGGCAGATGTCAAAGGACAGGCGGCGCATTCGGGCATTGCGCAAGGGCGCCTTTTGTCCCCGTTCTTGTTCATGATGGCGATGGCGGTGGTTATGCACGATGCAGTGGGGCTCCTTAGCGAACAAACAACATTGTCAATTTAAATTGGTGCGGTCTCAATTCTGGTGTGCGCATGCAATGCTTCGATGTGTGGCAGAAGCCAAACATATGTTCAAAACTTATTGAATGCGGTCGCTACAGCTGGGGGGGAAGTTGACATGGGGTTGCGTTGGGATAAGCTTCAAGTTATGCACGTGAACAACGCGCTGCAATTATTTACGCCGCGCGGGTAAGAAACACAGGCGAACTACAATTTAGTGCCCCTGGGGGCTACAATCAACAATCACTGGCACACACAAACATAATTAAGCAAACGATTAGGGCAGGCTTGGGGGGAGTTCTGCAGATGTACGACAGCATGGAAGCACGCTTCAATCGGCGCCAAAAAGGAAGCTACACATCTACCAGGCGATGATCACAAATACAGTCATGTATTCCGTCAGCTCGGCGTGGTTCAACAGAGCCGAGAAACGACGATTGGGCAGCTTCCAAGCGAAATACTTCAGGAACATATGGGATATCCCCCATTCGTTCGTTTCTAGAAAATCAAAAAGAACCGTTCTGGAGAGAAGCCAACGGCTGCCCCACGCATCGCAATTTAACGTCGACAACTTCAACTATTTGGGAATATTGGCCGGAGCCCTAACACTCATGCTCTGCGCGCGGCAGCGTTTCAACCTGATGCTCTCATGCCGGTCGCGTTAACTTGCAAACGCGCGCGGGGGAGACCAAAAAGAGAGTGGGCAGCATGATTTGTCCCATTCATCCTCGTGTTCCCCTAGTTCTGGCGCTTTAGTGGGCGCGCTCCGGAACGATGAAATATGGCGCGCTTTGAGCATCAAATTTTCCAGGCCAGCTGCATGTGGAGAAGACGAATACTTATGATATGCATTGCATGGGTTGTGCGTCTTAGCAGGAAAAACATCCTCATCTTCCTCTTCCTCCCTCTGCCCCCGTCGGCGCGCATTTGGCGCGTCCAGGGACCTGTGCGCGCGTTTTGGCTCGTAATTATTTGCTCTTCGGCGTCTTCCTCCTCTTCCTTGCGTTTTTTCGGCGCGCATTTGGCGCGTCCACGCCGTCCGGGCGTGTGTTTTGGCGTGCGATCGTCTGCTCTCGCGCGCATTTGGCGCGTCGCATCTCTTTGCCTTGCCCGCGCGCATTTGGCGCGCGGCTGTTTCGGGCCCCGTGGAAGCGCATTCAGCGAAACCGCATTCGCCTAAAGACGCACAAGAAGACCCTGCGGCGTCGCATTTCCTTCTGAGGGGGCAAGACGGGGGGGGGGAGAAGAGGCACCGAACCGAGAAAACAATATGGAGGGGGACGAGGAGGAAGGCGAGGGGGAAGGACACATTCGATACATGCAGTTTCCCCCCGCGCAATACCAGCACATGCATCCGGGGATGGGAGGGCGCTATAAAAGGTCGCGATGAAAAGCGACCCACTTGACACGGAAATAGCGGACACACCACGCAATGTTACGCAGTCTGTCCAAATACGCCTTTAAGAACAAGCATCGGTAATGGCGCAGTGAAATTTGATCACGCCCGTGCACAATTGCGGAACGATGTTGAAACACATTCCCTCTCGATGTCGAAATCAAATACTATGATACCGCAGCCGATTCATGATGCGGCCGTTTCTATTCAGTACCGAAGCTTGAAAGCGATATTGCGTATTTTGTTGCCGGTCCCCGTTTTTTTTTGTTCTGCCACCCGCCATGGGTAAGGGCGCGCGTATCTTTCGCGCTCGGGATTCAAAACCCATCATCAGAAACAAGAACGAGTAAAGCAACGAAGCACCCCAAGTGGATACGGAAACCGATATGGGTGGATACGGGAATCGGTATGGATAGAAACAGAAACCGACATGGATGCATACGGACATTGGCATGGGTGGATACAGAAACTTCTGTGGGTGGATACTGGAACCGGTGTAATACAGATGGAAACAATTATTCGGATACGGAAGGCGCCCAGAATTCCAGACTTATGTGAATTTAGAATTGCACCCGCAATTTTCTATGCCACGCATGGGTTTTCACATATGCGCGATCGTATTTCCATATCGATATATATATATTATATATATATATATATATATATATAATATATATTATATATATATATATATTATATATATATATATATATATATATATAGATGTGTGTATATATATATGTATATACATATATATATATGTATGCAAGAAGAAAGCAATCTCCCATTGTCCCACTGCGTGCAAATGGCGGGGCAGCGAACGCGAGGTGGATGAGCACACTTACGTGAGGAGGAGGAGGAGGAAGAGGAAACAGAGGAATATGAAAAGGAGGAGGATGAGGACGTCGAGGAGGAGGACTACAGCACGTCGAAGTCTGCAAGCCGGCGAACAAATTCTGTGTATTTATCCCGGTAGTTCTTGCTCATGATATATGTGCTTCCGAATGACATGCAGACGGCAAACCACCAATTGCAAATTAATTCGTAATCTTTGCGAACAAATGCCATACACGGAAAATATGTCCATTCTTAATTGTACTTCCGTAATTGACGGATTCCCCAAATTGGTTTCTGTTTATGAAGCAAAACACGTCCATATTCGTAACCGACGGATTCCAACAACGGAGAAATGCGACACTGAAGCGTGCAATATCGCAACGTTTCTTGCAAAGGCCAGAAGAGTGAATTTCGGTCTGGGACGGCCTCTTCCGCCGCCTTGCTTCTCTTTTTGTTTTCTTCTCCGTTCTCTCCATCATTCTCTATATTTTTTCTCTCTCCCACCTTCCCCTTATTCGTCCTCCTTTCCCATTATGTTCTTTACCATGTCTTCCTTGTTTTCTCCTTTTCTGAACTTCCCGCTCTTCTCATTTTTTTTCCGTTCCCGAACCCGTCAAAACATAAAGAACGGACAACCCATGCAAAACATAAGGAAGACACAAGAAAAAACATGGAAATAATGTCTCTGGAAATGTCGCCGCGGGCGCCACCGCCGCTGTCGCCGTCGTCATCATTACAATAATTACCGTCGTGCTCGTCATATTTGGCATCGTTTTTCAATATCGCAATCGTTATAGGTATCATCTTCGATCTCATTATCATCGACATTATTGCCGTCGTAGTCCGTAATTGGCGCAATAAAATTTTGAAAAACAGTTGGGACTTCCGGGAAAATCCGAAAACAC